ATTTTTCATTCATGGTCAATACGGGGAAGTGTTGTTTATCTTTTCTGGTTCACCCAGGCTGAACGGAAGTTCTGCTATTCACAGTAATCCCTTAGTGCTTCTGGGATACCTAACATTCTTATTTTCTTTGACATTCACAGGTTAATCTAGGGAAGTGTTGTCTATCGGCCTTACTGGTTCACCCAGGCTGAAGTCTTGGCATTCAGTTTAATGCCTGAGCGCCTCTGAGATATTTGACTTACTTAGCTTTTCATTGATGGTTAATATAGGGAAGTATTGTCTATCCTTTCTGGTTCACCCAGGCTGAAGTTCTGGCATTCAGAGTAATGCCTGAGGTTTTCTGGCATATATAATGTGAAGAAATTCTTGTGACGCAAACTTTTCTGTTATTTGAGCTCTTCACCTATATCTACAGCAGAGCGACAGGAATAAATAGTCGTTTGAGACAAAAATTTGAAAAACAGCTTCATTTACTGTTAAAAGTCGCCCTGCAAACCGCGACGGGAAGAGAACATCAAAACAAAAAATGCTGCCAAAAAAACTCAATAAATAACACAAGGCAAAACACTGCTGGTACATTTCTTTGCGAAGCTAGATCGTGAAATCTCTGATGCGACGTTTTTGTAGGGCGTAAACACACGACGACGATTGATTTCCTGACAAACTGGGTAATATGAGATAATATAAAGTATGAAACAACACGAAGTAACGCGCACAGCCTCAAGTGATCGATATACCGTATTTCCTTGAATAAGTGCCCACCCCTTGGCCATTCAAACTTGTAACTCTGAATAAGCGCGACACCGGAACCCTTTCTTTTTCAGCTTTCATAACATTTTAAACTTTTACTACCTTAGATGAATATGTTGGGAGAGATTCTTGCTTTAAGAGTTATATTACGCCGATGTATTATCTTTCCTTTTTATATGGCTGGCTTCGCAAGCGGTGCAAGATGCAGCGAATTCTGTGAGCTGATTGGCTATTAACCCTTGCTTATTTTTCGTTTTCTGCGGTGGCCAGCGTTGCAGCCATTTTGTCTTTGTGTAACCTGCAGGCAAGCTCTCGCTTGGCTCTTATCGCTTGGCTCAGGTTTGAGTTTTCCTGCTTGGTCAATAACGCATTACTGGATCTACCGCGCTCTATGTTAATTTCCAAACCACTCTAGCGCACAGCGCTTGACTCAGTATTTAAAGTTGGTTTTTCGGAAAAAGTCAACGTCCCACCCCTCTCAAGAAGCTTTTAGAATATAAAAATTCAAGGACTTTCCAAGGATTAGTTAAATTCATTGGGGGACTTGCCCTGAAATTAACCGACTTGCAAGACAGTACGAACCCTGTTAAAGTTCAAAGGAGTCTAAACTTGTTCGTAACGTGTCATTAAACGAAAGTTGGTCTTTGTCTGTTTAAAAGCTTTGTCAGCTTGTTCAACATCTATCTTGATTTGAAAACAATTATTAGTACCCCCGGTCTCTGTTTATTCACGATTTTAATCATTGTTACGGAGGAGGTAGCGCAAAAAGATTTTCAACACCTGTGCGTTAATCACATCGTACCTATAATGTTGGTATTCTCTCGCAACTATCTAGAGGATTCCGGCACCAATATAGGTCATCTGAAGGCCAGTGACAAAGAATCTTATGAGTACTGCATGAATATAGTTTAAAAAAACCGGAACAGCGTGTAAACTATAAATGCGACATAAAATATCAGTGAGAAAAAGCCGCCATGTATTGTGGACTTTGCGTTAAACAGCAAAAGAAACTGTAGGTTGTAATACGCCGAGTTCATTCCCAATAACTGGTACACGGATGCTCAAAAATTACAGCACCAAGCGTCAGCTGTCAAAGATTCCGAACACAGCGGAAAAAAAGGCGTCGGTTCTGGAATTTACTTTGTCTCCGATCCGAAAACAAAAATCTGGTAAAATTGATTAGAAAAAAAAAATACTTAGGCCGCCAGTTAAATGTCGTAGTAAATAAGCGTCGCAGCCTATGTTAGTATTAATGAAGTTAACTAAATCCACAAGCATTGACTTAGAAATGTTTCATCGACGTGACTGTAACTGCCGCAACACACTCCGGGCGAGCGCTTTGTCTTGTCACTATTTTTAAGCGCCGGCCATGTACATTTTTTTCGGATACGGCTTCTTTAATTACCTTTTCATGCCATAGGATGATGACATGATTGTGTAAGAGTTGACGCCTCTATCAGATTAGGAGCGAAATACGATCAAAAATTTTACCCAAGCAAGCCACTGGTATCCAGCAGAGAATGCGGACTAAAAGTACGGATTCTCTGCTGGATACCTAGATTTTTTTTGGTTGCTAACGGCGTGAGGCTCGTTATGTAAGTCTAAAATGAGGCGAGCGGCCTTATTTTGCGACACTTGCAGCTCAGACATTCAGGACGCATTCCCGCGATCTCCCCAAATGATATTCCCATAGTCAAAAATAGGTAAAATGAAACTATTGAAAACCATAATTCTAGCATTGAGGGGGGAGGCAAGATTTAATACGCCTTAAAAGACTTAACTTTCTACTGACCTCACTTGATGTATACTACTGCAGAGTAATGTATACTACTGTAGAGTAACGCGTGCACAGACCAAGTGCTCTACACAACTACTTTATTACAATACTGATGAACTAAATATACAATGATAAATATATTAAGTCACGTGATTGCGGCTAAGGTGTGTTAACCAATAGAATCCAGATGACATAATAAGTAAGGTATATATCCACTTGGAATAAACACTACAGTGAGCAAGACCAAGTTCGCCAATGATACGAAACTGCTGAATTAGCAGATCCACGAAAGACGGTATCAACCCAAACGCAACAATCTCTACTTTTTTGGACCCTCTATTCACAAACATTAATTGTATTTTACAGAGTAGGATATAAAATGTTCTTAAATATTATAAATACAACCAAGTCGCCAAGTCGGTAAGGTACATACGTACTTGCGCACTTACTCTTACACTCAGATAAACACGCACGCACGCACACACGCACACACGAACGCACGCGCACACACACATAGTCACACAAATAATACTGTCTAATGACTATTCGACGAGACTTGGTGGAGATGAAAACTAATCGATACATGCCAATATAGAGATTCTTCATTTCTTTTAGAAGAGATAAAGGCTTAAGGTGGCTCGTACCAGTTTCCTCGCGCGGGGAACAGGTCACTCTTGCGTGACGCGCGCGAGAGAAACGTACGAAAGAAGCGCGAGATCAAAAGATGAAAATTCAAAACAAAGATGGCGGCGCGTGAAATTTTTTCTACTTTTGCAAGAAGTTTACCTAAGAGCTTGTATTTGATGGTTTGAGCGGCCACTGTGAATGCAGGAGATAGAAACTAAGATAACGAAGACGATTTTCGGAGAAGTAAAGGTTGCTTCACTTCACATTTAAAAGAAATATTCAACCGATATGAAACCTTGCGACGGCGAAAAAAGAACTCAAGTGAAGGATAATCTTCCTGAAGTGGAAGAAGACTTTGAACTTCAAGGAAAATAATATGATATAGCCAGAATTCATGTGTAGGATTTTTAAGATGAGCTCGTGAGGCCGTCTTTGAGGGCTGTTTAATGATTTTCTTAGCAGTAAACGTCTGTAAACATCAGATCGTAGGTGCTCGCGCGAGCATACGCAGTTGTCAGCGGTAGCTAAAACAGATCAAGAGCAAATGTCGATCTTCTAGAATCCAGGGCCGGGTTGTTCAAAGGCGGATTAAGATAACCCAGGATTACCGTGAAATTTAATTGCAGCTCTGAAAGCTTGAAAATTAAATTCATTTTAATTCCATTTGTTTACAATTTGGTGATTGAATGCTCTAAGAATAATTGGGAAAATTATCTTAAAAGGGCTTTTGAACAGAGAAATATAGAAACCTGGATTAACATTTAACCCTGGGTTAGCGCTAATCGGTCTTCGAACAACTGGGCCCAGATTTTTAAATGCGCGAGAACGCGCGTGGAAATCGCTACACTCACGAAAGCTATTGCATGAAAACAAGTCCGGTGACCCCTTCTTTTTATTGTTCCAATATGATAATAATGTCGAAAGGAATCATCAGAAAAAAAAAAAAAAATAGAAAATTATACGGAAGGAAATTTGCGATGTGTGAAAATTGCCCTTTTTGTAGATTTTCTGAAATTCCGCTTCGCATAATTTTTTAAAAATCTTTGTGCATTTTCCTTTTCATTTTCCCTTTCATTTCCTTTGTCAAAAGCAGTCACTGAAAAAAATCAGGGGGTCACCGGGTTAGTTTTCGAATTATTTAAGCCACAAGCTAAAAAATGCGTCTGAATAAGCCTATGATAGCGTTGCCATGGAAACTGCTAGTGACGAAATGACACTTATTTTTGGATAACCGATGATTACGTAATTCAACCCCGTAAAGGTGTTCAACTGGCCTTGGTCAGTGTTTCTGTTGTATTCTTTCAAAGTTACAAACCATCAAAAAGATGAAAACCGGTACGAGCCACCTTAAGATATTCATAAATAATATCCCAAGTTTAAAGGACCTTGGAATTTAACACTGAAAATGCCAAATTTAGCGCGAGACTTTGGAAGAGCAAAAGAAGATTTGGAAGCCAGTCTAGTTTTATGGGTATCAATACAAGAAAGAGGAGGAAGCAGCAGTTTATGGAATTTAGACATAAAAACTGATAAGTTCATTGGAAAAGATAAAAAAAAATATATGATTTTGAAGGATTTAAAGAAACGGCTAGTAAGGTTAGTTACTCTTCTTGAAGGAACCCATAAAAAGTCTATTTTTTAGCAAAATTGCATTATATTCCAGTCATTCTGAGAAGGATATTTTTTCTTCTCTCTTTGTAAGACATTATTTGATTAACGCTAACTGTGTCCGACGCGTCTTTAGAATACTAATAATAGTTTAATATAAACTCAATCTATCTTTCCGTATTAGTTGCAACGTTCAGACTACAAGTTGTCCTTACTTCTGTAAGTTAAGTAAAAGACAGAAAGCTGTCCCATACGACGTCATAAACCCCCAATATTAATGCTTTAAAATCATTATCGAAGATCTCTTTAACCCCAATATTTTATATCTTTAGTTAGAACATTATATTTCGAATTTTCTTCGTTGAATTTGCTTGAAAAGTAAATTCAAATGCAAGTGTCAAAACCAGCACCGTTAACATACATTTCTTACAAGTTTTTGCTTACTTCGTTCAGACACCAGTCGTTTCAAGGTTTGCATAGGTTGGCTGGGAGGGGTCTAGATCCTCTCTTCCAAGCAACTCCGGAGGCAGTTCTTCAACATCAGAATATATCGTGAGCTCATAGCTGGGTGGTTTTGTTGGTTTGGCGGCATCAGTTTCATTGTCAAAATCAGCGAGTTGAGCGTACACAAGGTCTCCCTCCTTTTGCTTAAATTAGAGTGAAAATAATGATCAATTGATATAGACAATCAGGCGGCAAAAGTAGCAACATGAATGCACGTACTTTGAATCGTCGATTGAAATGTGCAAGTCTATGATATGAAAGTTCTTTTTTTTTCGGTCTGATGCCAAATGCAACAGAGTTAAATTTCACTGCGAAGAGCCTCGATGTTTCTATTTTAGATGACCTAGGTAGATGATAACGTTTTTTCCATACTCTCCCTCTCCTTAGGTTTATATTAATCATGTGCACAATTTTATCGAATCTACTTCTACACATAAATGAATGTATCCATTCATCTGTGAATGTCATGTCCATCGTTCGTTGTGGAAACTGACTCAGTGCTACACTGAATGATCTCAAATACGTCTCAGTGTCTAAAGCTAAATTGTTACCTTCTTTTTTTCCTTGTTGACAACGGCATATTCACAGTTTTCTGTTGGTGGATCGAACCTAGTATTACTCTCATAAGAGATACTGTTTGGTGACCCAAGAAGCTTTGCGGCTTCAACTGGATTTACAGACTCATATTGACTTTCTCCTAATTGATCTTCCTCGCTACTTTGGTAAAAGAAAAATGAAACAATTAGTTCAAAAATAACATTTACTTCTACTTACTTTGGGTGAGTAATCCTCCTATAGACTGGCTTTCTAACTAGGGAAAAGCCAAGTAGCAATACCAGTAGTTACTCCATGCAAAAGAAAATAGAATTTGCAGCAATGGCTCGTATGCTAAACTTGCCTTACCCTTTTCAAATCCAATATGTCCTAGTCGGCTTTGTCATTTGTAAATTATGTGTTTGGTAAAGATTATAAGAATCTCAAAACATTCGAGGGAAACAAAGAAACAAACACAAATAAATAAACATAAAACAATAAATACTGACTTCTTCGGCCCGAACTTCTTTGGTTTTGTGCTCTGTGCATCTGCCAATAAAAAACCAAATTCACCGGTGAAGACTGCATAAAAGATAGACGTCTATCTTTCTTAGCAAACAGTAATAGCGGCTACAACAGCAAAAGAGAAATGTTTCTGACGTCATGGGCGTATAACTGTACCCCATCACTTTTCTCTCTTTTACCTTTTAGCATTTACCTATTCAAGGCCGATTTTCATTCCGAATTCGGTTAGGGTTGATAAGAATATTTACACCATATCGGAACTGCTACGATATTTGACCTTTTATGGGAACAAGAATTCCGTGAGTATTTATAAGCCAGTAAAAAGGAATATTACTTGAAAAACCAAAGAAAGAAAAAGTTTCCTGAAAGAAAAAAAAATAAAAAAGAGTTGTCTGATTTTCCGTTTACAGTGTGGTTCACCTTAAGTCCATTTTCGTGGGCCGATTAAATTTATCTGAGAGACAGTAGGTCAGTAATTTGCCTCTTCTCAAAGCATGAGCTTCTGAATCATAATATTATTACATTTTTTCCAGTGGGAAACATTAATAATAATTATGTTAATTATGATAATCATCATCATCATCATCATATTGGTGTAATCTTCACAACGCTTAGGGACACTTTACCTTCTCCGTGACGTTTCTTTCGCCTTAGCAATATGACCGCAATAAGAATGATCAACGCTACGAAGAGCACGGCGCCCAAAGAGGCGGCTACTATCATTACTGTAGGAGAAGAACCGCTTTTGTCATCCATAAAGACTTCGTCTGTTGATTTTGCCGTGGTAGGGGTGAAGGCATTTGTCGAAGACCCTGGATTTAATGCATCGATGCTTTAAAATTTTTGATAACATTGAATCGTGATATACTTAGATCTTAATAGTGCTCCTGGCTGCTAACACTGAATCCTTCACCGCCTCTTTAACCTTTAAGCTATTTAACATATCCTTAAAGTTACCTGATACATCAGTAATATCCTGTTCAGTTGATGTCTTCCTTTCTGTAGTAACAGCTTTTGTATCAGGAGGACTGGTGCTTGTCGGAACAGTATGGAAGAAACAGTCTCCTTGACAGTTGTCTGTTAAAGGAACATGACACTGACACTGTCGCTAGCTAGAAATTTGAACTTACCAAGGGGCTTCCTTATAATTCAGCTATGAAGCTAGACCAAAGAAGCTGGGATTACGGGTTCTGTTCCACTGAAGATGATGGGCCTTCAGTGTATGGTGGTCGCAATGAGCGGATTCCGAAAAACGAGAAATGGAGAATTATATTTGAAATTTCACCACATGCTTGCTAGTAACTAGCAACAAAAGAACGAAAGAAAAGTTTGCAAATGTAATAAGCGCTGTTATAGACGTTACTATCACGTGAACAGCGACGAAAATCCTCTAAGAGAAAACGAAATGAACGTGCAGTCCGAGTTCGGAAGAAAATTGCAAATAAAGTCTTAATCTCGTAGAAAAATTAAAAAACGTGATTGGAAGTCTACTTCTATGGCGAACAGACTATAAAAAAACGACTTCTCTCTTCTTGATTCTTCTGAAAACTGGTGTAAGACATAATGAGCAACTCGTAGGGATAGTGTAAATGGACTCGTCAAAGGCATTTGATGTTATACAACACCCCCCCTTATTAGCCAAGCTCAAAGGCCACGCACTAGATGAAGACAGCTGTGCCTTGTTAAGAGATTATCTGTCAAATCGACAACAGAGAGTGAAGATTGGTGACACGTACTCATCAAGGAATAGTGTTAAGCGTGGGGTGCCTCAGGGTAGTGCCTTAGGCCCGATTCTTTTTAATATATTAGTTAACGATCTCTTCTATCATATAAAGAGAGCTAAGCTAATGCGTATGTTGACGACCATCAAATTTATTACTCAGACAAATCCGATTGCACTTGAAGAATGCTTGTGTAAGGAAGTTGAAAAGGCAAATCAATGGTACAATGGCAATGGAAATAGGGTGGCTTTAAGGCGAATGTAAATTAATTACTATATCAATAATTAAAAAACCTTCAGGCAAACGTGTTATATTCGACCTACCAGGCAACTTCATTATGAAATTTGAAGGTTTGGAATTTTTGACAGCTTTAGTCTTAAGTAACCAATCAGAATACTTCAACCATTCTAACAAGGATTCTGATTGGCTCATTGTAGCCTACTTTATGAGACTATAAAACATGCCGACGACACTGTTGTTCGCTCAGAAAATTTTTTTTTTTTAATCTAAATTAATGCGTAAGTAATTTAATGGCTTCTTTACTCTGTTCTGTTGTAAAGCACACAAGGAGTGGTTGAAGTACTCAAGAAATAGGGAGAAACACTCGATTACGTGTCGTGTTTCTCCCTCTACTTCTTTTGTGCTCTAGAGGCTCTTTACTTTATCAAATACTGATCACTACCTGTTTCTTCCTCGCAAATCCAACCTCTTTGTAAGCTTCTCTTTATGGTGCTAAAAGAGCCTTTAGATCTGGGTGGAAATTCCTTATGAATCATCCCATAAAAGTCACTCTTGTCAGGATTATAACTCTGCCATTTGTCGATAGTCAGAGGTTTACCATTGATCCAAGTCCATTTCTCAGTGGTGGTATTTCGCTCCAAGCCTATAAACCATTCACCGAGTGTACTGCCTACTCGGTTTTGAATCTCATTTCTGATAAACACCCATTCCCGCTCTGTTTCCATGACCACAAGTGTTTTATTGTTATATTTACAGCCACCCATTGCTTGTGGCCACGCCATACGATCTGTCTGGTTATGAAAGCTATAACACGAACAAAGCTTGTCTCCACCTAGAATGAAAGAAATCACAAAGAAGTCTCAAGCTCTACAAATAATCAACAACAACAAGGGTCTGTAAGTAAGCATGCTTGACTGAGTTAGCTGTCTGGTGTTAAAACTTGTTGCAAGTTTTAATGAAGCCAAGGATTACAACCAATCACGTGACAGTTAGTTTGGTAGATGATGATCACCATCATCATCGTCATCATTATGGTCACCTCCATCATCCTTTATGCATTAATCAATTTTTTTCGTTTATCTTTATGTAGACGATTTTTGGTTAACTAGAGAGAAGATAAGAAGAATGCGCGGCGATAGTACAGCCTCGCTCCATACCCACATCAGATCAACACCACTATACATCCGCTTGTAAGGCGGGCGCTCACAATGAGAACCATAGTACTAAGGCTTTCTCGAATCTTTCCAAGTTATTTAGTTTTCGTTGAAACAGGGAATTGTCGCAGATGTTTTAAAATAAAAATCGATACCATGATTATAGCCATCAAACTCCCAAGATTCACGCTCGCGTTGTTTATCCCATAGTCACGTCACATATTGCTTGCTACATGAATTTGAACGTGACGTCAATTTGTCACGCTAGGTAGAAGAGCGATCGTTTCTAGTACTTTTACCCATTAAGCGAGCTTACTTAAAGAAAAAAAAAATACCATACAAGACCTTTTACGTATATGTATGTGTTTTCATTTCAGTCAAAATCCATAATCGACAATCATTTTACGGCGTGCTCTGTATTAAGGTAAACTGCGGAGAGAAGTCCTCTTTCAAAGAAATAAAAAATATATATCTAGGTAAGCTGGTCATTTTGTTCGATCGAAAAATTCGCAATTTGTAGCGTTCGGAAAATTTATGGATATCAGAGTTGATCGATGGTCTATTTGTCACGCGAGGCTTACCAGCGATCGTTTCTCCACATTTTTTAAAACATATGAACGAGAGGGCTGTCCCGATATACAGGAAATATACAGCTTCAAAACGGCAGTTTGCGGTATGATTTGACAGTGTGAAACTCAAGTCAATTTGGTTATATCATTCGCTCTGACGAAGGGCTAAAGCTCGAAACCTCAGCTCTTTTACTCGTTACAACTTATTTGATATAACCAAAATACCTTGTTACCCCCACCGACGCAGCACCACAGTTTCTTTAGAAAGTTTCAGCCTTTATTCATGAAACTTAAGTCAGACACGCTGCATCGGATCAATAATGCTTTTATTTACATAATGGAATCTCCTAACTTCCTTTCAAATCCAATCGACAATCTTTGCATAGCTTGTTGTGTGTTTCGGTAAGCTGCGTTAGAAATCTTCTTCTCAAGAGTCCAAATACGTCTTAGCGATAATTTTTATGAAAGCAAGGCATTTTCTTCGTAAATCGTCGCATTTAAAGCGATGGGATTGATACGTTAGATATCAGATTTGATCTATAAGCATCAAGACAATAAACACGAACAAACCTAATGAAGTAATATCTTCAATTCCTTCCCCACTTACCAGTCCTTGACAGTAACAAGACAAACCCAAGCACTAGAAATGCGTACATCTTCCCGAAACTCATTGTCTAGGCCTATGTTTTGGATGAGAATGTTTGAAACGCCACGAGAACGAAAGTTACGCCTGAACGACCAATTAAGATATGGTCGCAATTTCCCGTCTCACTCAAGGTGTGATTATGAATCAGCGGAAGTTTGATGAGACATCACGCTTCACGGAAAATGTAAATGTGGATCACTAACAAGCTGATTTCAAACAAGAATAAGCATACGAAATAGATAAATTTAGAATGAGAAAAGCTATACAAACTCTTGCCGTCAACTTATCTTTTAGCTTTAGATAATAAAAAGAGACGGAAGTGTAAAGCTAAGATTTATTGTGTTGGATATTTTTGGAAAGTTCTTTAAAGCTTTGCCGGCTGGATCGAGGTCGGCAGGGTCAGCCACTGTCTACGAAACTTAACGCCACAATTAAAGGTAAAATTCAGGATTTTATTCCCTTCATGCATCTGCTTGTGTCTATTTTTCAGTTATGAGCTTTTGTACATATGGTCTGTGGCCTTTTGGATAACTTACTGAGTTCGGATGCATTTTAAACCTATATGAGATAGTCAACCTGATAACACCACTGGATCATTCTTGGTCTTTTATTCTATAATTTGCATGTATTAACATAATCACTTTTTACAAATGAATGTGATAAATAAGGTCACAAACACATATTTTATCCAAGTGATGAGTTTATCTTTTTATTCATCTTAAGCAGTTTTATCGAACATCTTCAGTTCCATGTTTTAATTATCAACTGTACAGGAATGATATTCGGTATTTCAATTCCCCGTATCCTTGAAACCGAATTTCGACTGACTATATTTTCATTTTTCAATGGAAATTTTAATTTTAGCTTAAAAGAGCCGGCATATCGAAGTCGTATTCATTCAATAATAGGGACCTTTAGCAGTGACGACGAGAACGTGAACGTGACCGACCGGAAGTTGGGAAAACCAACTTCGATGCTACCACGCATGCCCAATCGAGCACGAGTCGTCGTCCACATGTCGTTCAGGGCGCCATTTGCCGCCATTCGCCGTCTTGACGAGAACGTGAGTATGTTTTATTTGTTTTCTAATTTCTACTTACCTATCTAAGGGATTTCTTCAATCTAAAGGGTCGGTTAGGGAATAAAAACAGTGCCGAAAGTAATTTGATCGAACCGTGATGGAAAAAAAACTTCATTTCTTTCGAGTTGCAGATTGAGCTTCACAGTTTACAGCGGAGAAAGCAATGGCGGATGATGATAAAAGTGCTGCAGGGTATGTACGTAGCCTTATAAATGCTTTTCTTAATATAAATCCCGGACATTTCGTTATAGTTTTGTAATTTATACCAGCTGGCATTTTTAAGAAGATTTCTTGGCTTTGAAAAATATCCGAACCGCTCGGATCGACTGTATATGTAAAGTTAGCTTAGCTCTGAATCACTTGACGTTGATTACAACACTGAAAAAAAGTTAAATTGTTTTAGTGGATAATTTTTGCATTTTCAAATAAGCAGTAAAGGACTCGTCCACGTAGCCGATGTGCTAAAGTCTTTATGTTTCCCGCCGTTGAGGACGGTCCCGTCCCAGGCCTAAATCGGTCATATACGTCGTCGTCCACGTTCTCGTCGTCAGTGCTAAAGGTCCCTACTAAAGTTATTACGGCACGACAGTCCGACAGTCAGACCGAGCATCCTTCAAACATTAGATATGTTTCTGTGAGAATGACTGAATGTAAGACTGTAATGACTGATTGACAGAGATGTTGATCTTTATTCAAGCATTTGCAAAATTTTCTAAGTAATAAGTTGAGCATGCATGTAAGAGATTGTTCATACGAGCCAAAAATATATTTTACATTTCATTTACATTCCATATAGTTGAAGAAACGGATTGCACAAACCGCTTTTAAATTAATCAACCCAATGTCAACGGAAATTGTTGTTCAACTCTATGGCTTTGCGAAGACACATAATATCGATATTTTGTTTACTTTTACAGATTAGCCGGCTAACCGTCTTACAGTGAAACGAACTCAACCGGGGCCACCCAACGTTTTTTAGCCAATTACAAGACAAGTACGGAACAAAAGAATGGGAGTTCGTTCACCAGCGGTCAAATTAAACTGCTCTTTTGACTGGAGTCGAT